GGCTTCTCTATGGTAAATTTTCCTAAGGGGAAGCACTTTCGTTGTTTTTTCGATTCGCTGCAGACTTTACTCCTCCTAAAACAGGATAAAAACGAAACTACGAAAAAGGAGAGAAAAAAAAATGTTTTTTTTTCTTCTCGCTTTTCTGTCTTACCCTTAAGCCCTGTTTTTTAGATTTTTTTAACTTTACTTATACTTATTTATTTTTACTGCAAAAGATAAGTCGTTCTCGATTCAAGTATGAGGGAATTTAATCTTAGACTATGTCAACCTTCATCTATCAAAAGGTACCTCGTGATGGATTCAAGTTAACATGTCTTATATACTAGTGATTTGTTATTTAACATTTGTAGTGGTAGTTACGCCACAAGTACGCCATTGGCATGTTTTTTACCTGCTCATTAAGATTTTATTTCACGAGGTTCATTAAAATCATATCATTCATCAAATAAAAAGTAACATTTTAGCTGGAAAAAGACGAAAAATGATAAAGACCTGTCATCGCTGGAGTTAAAGTCATGTCATGAGTGATGAATTGTCCAAAGAAGGGGAAGAGAGCAGACACTAAAGTAGACGAATTACTGATATTTCTCACAGACAGAGATAAGCGTCTGCTCAATGGCAAATCCTTACCATTCACTGATTTCCGAATTCCATTGGTCCCTGTAATGCGAATCATGTTAGTTTTTCTCCATCCTTAGAGTATTAACACATGTAAATTTTGATATTATTACATAATAATAATATCAAAATTATTAAAATACTATTACCTTAACACTAGATTGCCTGAGGAAGTCATTTTGAATGCTTTTTAATTTCAATTAGAAAAACAATGATGTATGTAATGACGCAATTTCTTAGAAATTTGTGACTGTTTGCACAACATATAATTTTTTTATTGTTAATATTTACTAATAAGTTGTTATATAACTGTAAATAATATAAAAAATATTAATTTTAAAAAAATTTCTTCATTCTTTCACAATCCAGTCCACTGGTCTTGCATCAGAAAGGTGCTGGGTTTGAATCCCGGAAATGGCATGGGTGTTTTGTCATTCTCTGTACTATCTGTCCTTATTGTGGGAGCAACGTTGGCCCACCTAATAGGCTGCCCCTGAGAGAGTGGCCAACAAATCTGCCCTTCAGATGCCTGTATGACCTAGGTCATTATTCAGGTGGGCATTGGGAAAAACAAAACAATCATTTTGTCTGCTTTTTAGGCAATATAGGTTCAGTCTTTCTAGTTAGTGTAGGAGAAGCGTGCAGATCGTAAAAAGGCAAATATTAAAAAAAGGGCAATTAATAAAAATTGTGCAATTATTAAGAAAATTTACGGATCATTAATTTTAACTGATTTCTCAAAAAGGAAATAACGTGTGAATTAGATTACCAACCATCTGTGATAGGTTTTTTTTACGAGTACTGGTTAGCATTGTGTGCTCGTGATGATATATTCAAGATAAGGATTCTTTTTAATAAATTTTATTTTTCATGCACTAGATCCAATCTTGTCAAAACATTTTTGGTATAAAAGGATTGATACAAATGGAAGTTCTGCAGAGCTCTTACGGGTCTTTCGAACTTCAATGGTGAGGATTTTAAAACGTTTACACAGCTGACGATTCTTTTCGATTTTGCGGAAGAATTTATTTTATATCGTAAGTGACAGAAAAAACTTTTTTCCTTTTTGTTCCGTTTTTGAACAGATAAATTACTTCCAAATGATATTAACCGCTACTGCATATAAACAAATTAAACTAACATAGATAAAAATATTATATAAACACCAGTATTTTTCTCAAAAATATCTGGAATTTGCTGATATGATTGTTCACGATCATTATTTTTATTCAATTCAAAATATATTTGTGTATTCCAGGCATCTCCACAAATTAGTGTTGTTTAGTACCCTACATTATTATCTTTTGTTACCAACTCTTTTCAATTCGCGATCGCAACGAACTATAGGGGGCGTTGTTGTATGAGACGCAAATGAA